TCTGCCACTCAGGTTCAAGCAATTCTTCTGTCTCAGCCTCCCAAGTAGCTGGGATTATAGGTGCCCACCACCACACCTGGCTAATTTTGTATTTTTAGTAGAGATGGGGTTTTATTATATTGATCAGGCTGGTCTTGAACTCCTGACCTCAGGTGATCTGCCCGCCTTGGACTCCCAAAGTGCTGGGATTATAGGCGTGAGGCACCGCACTTGGCCTGGTACTTTTTTAAAACTAAATTAATTTTTTTTTTCTTTTCAGTTGGGAGTCTCTGTCACCCAGGTTGGAGTACATTGGTGTGATCTTGGCCCACTGCAACCTCCACCTCCCGGGTTCAAGCAATTCTCCTGCCTCAGCCTCCCGAGTAGCTGGCATTACAGGCAAGCACCGCCATGCCTGACTAATTTTGCATTTTTAGTGGAGACATGGTTTCACCATGTTGGCCAGGCTGGTCTCAAACTCCTTGAGCTCAAATGAGCCACCTGCCTTGGCCTTCCAAAGTACTGAGATTACAGGCATGAGCCACTCCACTGCTCCCAGCTGAGAAAATGGCAGTTAACCCTGAATGGAGTGATTAGGAAAGGCTTCCCGGAGGAAGAAACTCCTGCGGTGAATCTTCCAGAAGGAGCCTGATGAAGAGGCAAAAAGATGCCCCAGGTGAATGAACTGTGTGTGCAAGAGCATGGAGGGTAAGGAGTTTGCAAAGAACCACAGGGGCGGGTGGTGCATTGATTGGCAGGCGAGTGGTTAGAGATGGGGAAAGTGGCTGGGAAGACGCATTGGGAATCAAAGATTTCAGAGTCTCTGAGAAGGCACGCAAAAGAGTGTAGGTGTGCCGTAGACCCCACTGCAGTAAACAGCCTCCCCTAAACCCAGAGGGACAGATACTCAGCCTCCCCCGGGGCCTAGAAGCCTCCCCATCTCACCCTGCAACTCTTCGGGTTAACCAAAGCGGCATGACCTCATGTGTTATGGCTGCAAAGGCGCGGGGGAGGCCAAATCCGGTGTTTGTATTGAAATTAATTGGGGGCTTCTTGGATGATGGAGGCTTTGAGGAATGCACAGGCCCCCGCATATGATCCTGTGAACAATGGTGTCACTTACGACCACCAGGGCCCACGTCTGCACGTCCACAGCCCTTCTCAATGAAATAATAATCAGAGACAGATATGAGTATTTAAAATACAAAGCAGATACCCGCAGTGACTTGCGACGGGGAGAACTCAGGCAAGCACCCCAGAGCTATTTTTAGCCTAGGAAACGGAGCCCCATTTTACCAGGGCAGCAGCTTGTCAATCAGGAAAACCCCACTGCTCCCCGCCAGCTCTGATTTATGATGATTCAGAGGGGAGATGCTGCCAGGAACGGGCTGGGGCCAGGAAAATTTCATCTGTCTGGAATCCGACAGGAAAAAAGAGGCCTGGAAATTTCAGAGGAAGCTGGGATCTGTGCGGGTTACAGCGCCTCTGTTTATGTTCGCTCAGCTGGCTCCTGTTAGCGAGTGAAGGGTCCGCTGAGGAAAAGCGTCAGGCCAGGTTTTTCCATCACTCCAGAACCTTGAGCCTGATCCCCAGGCAGCCGCTGCTCCTGCGACCTCCAACCCCAAACAACAGGAGCCTTCGCCGGGTTTCCCCAGCCCGCAGCCCTAGGCTATATCTTAAATCAACATCTTTGTTTTTTTCTCTTTTCCCTTACCACAAAAAATGATAGCAAAGTGATTCTATCTTTATCACTATTTGTTTAACCAGACATTTAGCTCACTCAAGAAGCAGAGTTCAATATGAAAACCAATTAACGAAATTTAGTTTTAATTTCCTCCCCTGGAATGGCCCAGCTCTCCCAAGGTGGCCTTCTCACCTCCCCACTGGTGCTGGGGCACCAGGAACCCCTCACCTCCAAACCAGATGCTACAAGCTCTAAGATGGGGCCAGGGATTCGGATTCTGCCCAGAATCTTTCGGCAAATCCTAAAGGGGCAAACAAGATGGTGACGGAGTTCAGGACACGCCACCCAACAGTACAGCACGTCAGCAAAAACAGCAGAAGGAGGAAGGTCTCTCTGACCTTCTGCCACTATTCTCCCCTGAAGCAGACCATAAAAGAATGTTCTGCCCTTCCTCTAGAGTGGGTCCTCCCTACACCCAGAGGAAAGGAATGAAGATGCAGAGAAGAATCTGAAGACGCGCAGGCCTTGCTAAGCTCCCCGGAGTTGATCACCATTAGATCATACCCCCTTTCTTCCATTGTATTTCTTTTTTTTTTTTTTTTTTTTTAAGTCAAAGTCTCGCTGTGTCACCCAGGCTGGAGTGCAGTGGCGCAATCTCGGCTCACTGCAACCTCCGCCTGCCAGTTTCAAGTGATTCTACTGCCTCAGCCTCCCGAGTAGCTGGGACTACAGGCGTGTGCCACCATGCCCGGTTAATTTTTCTATTTTTAGTAGAACTGGAGTTTCACTGTGTTGGCCAAGCTGGTCTTGAACTCCTGACCTCTTGATCTGCTTGCCTTGGCCTTCCAAAGTGCTGGGATTACAGGTGTGAGCCGCCGTGCCTGGCCTCATCCATCATATTTCTACACAAGTGTCTGCTCCTCATCAAACCTAAACATAAAATATACACAGTATTCCCTGTTTCCTTGGATCTTCATCTCCCATGTCACGTAAACTTATTGTACAAATAAATATGCTTTTCTCTTGTTAATCTATCTTTTAATAAAAGGAAAATATAGTATTCTTCCTCCCCTCCCATGGTGTCCTTTCCATCCATTCATTCCCTCATTCATTTACTCAGTGCCTATTCACTTACTCAGGAGTTCAAGACCAGCCTGGGAAACATAGTGAAACCCCATCTCTACTAAAAATAGAAAAATTCTGTGCCAGACCCTGTACTGGGGGAAATGGGGATGGGTTTGGGGGGATACAAAATAGACATGACCTGCCTTCAAGGAGCTCTCAGTTCGGTGGGGTACGTCGACCTGCAAATAGGTTTAACTACGGTGCAGAGGAGCAAACGGGGTAATAGCTAAGCAGAGAGGAGTCACGAAGCACAGAGAAGACTCTGGGGGCTGGCTCAGAGGCAGACGAGAGGAGAAAAGGTATCCAAGGGCAAGAACTGTGTGTACAAAGACAGAGAAGCCGGAAAGAAAGGGGACACACACCGCACACCATGAGGATTCTGGTGTGACTGCAGTGTAAGATCCTGAGTAGGATCCAAACTCAGGGAGGCAATTTGTTGTGTTAAAGAAAAAATTACTCTTAACACTTTTTAAAGACAGTAAGGAAGACCTTATTTAAGGGGGGTGCTACACTGGGGTTTGGCAATGGGGAAAACAGATTGGGCTGAACTTTGAAGACAGCAAGGACTAGTGGAGATTTATAGCCAAGGAGCAGGGTGGGCTCAGTGGATGGAAAATCACTAAGCGGAAGCCTTCAGGCCAGGGGATTCCTGCTGAAGGCAGGCCAGAGATGCGGCATCAGGGTGGAGATGAGGAATTGGATCAGAGAGGAAGGATAGGGGATTTTTGCTAAATGGGCCTGGCAGGATTCAGGCTACAACTGGACTAAATTGTCCAAAGACACAGCCCAAAGTCAAGATGCAGTCAAAAAGAGGACCCAGGCTGGGCATGGTGGCTCATAACTGTAATCCTAACACTCTGGAAGGCTGAGGCGGGTGTATTATCTTAAGTCACGAGTTCAAGACCAACCTGGCCAATATGGCAAAACACCATCTCTACTAAAAAAACAAAAATTAGCTGGGTGTGGTGGTGCATGCCTGCAATCCCAGCTGCTTGGGAAACTGAGGCAGGAGAATCGCTTGAACCTGGGAGGTCGAGGTTGCAGTGAGCTGAGATTGCGCCACTGCACTCCAGCCTGGGCAATGGAGCAAGACTCTGTCTCCAAAATCAAGGAGAAAGTCTGTCGGGTCAGGGCACTGGTGTGACCACCTTTGCATTGGGACTTCATGCTGAGGAAACCGAAGAGTTGAGCAGGGAAACACCATGGGGAGATGTTTGTCTGGGTGACCCTGGTGGCAATGTGAAGGCTGGTGTGGAAGGGGGTGGGGCTGGAGGCGGGAGGACCAGTCAGAAGAGAGCAGGGGCGGACAAGCAGGCAGTGGGGCTGCAGAGGAGGGCAGGCTTTAGAAGACATTAGAAGCCAGGCCGGCGCTTGTAATTGCAGCTCTTTGGGAGGCCAAGGAAGGCGGATAACTTGAGCTCGGGAGTTTGAGGCCAGCCTGGACAACATGGTGAAACCCCTTATCTACAAAAAATACAAAAATTAGTCGAGTGTGGTGGTGTGCACCTGTAATCCCAACTACTTGGTGGGGCTCAGATGAGAGGATCCCTTGAGCCCGGGAGTTCGAGGGTGCGGTGGGCCACGTGTGCACCACTGTACCCCAGCCTGGGCAACAGAGTGAGAAGCCCAATTTTTTCATCTTTCGTGGCTGGCTGATCACAGCTGTTCAACAAGGAAACACGAGTGGGTAAAGGGAGACCTAATTTCCTAAAGAAGCCAGACCAAACCACATGCCACAATCCCTGAAGGACAGGAAGGGTCCAGGCCTGCAGCTGTTCTGCCCAGGCTACTTGGGGCTGCAGTCAGCCAGGGACCCAGGGAAGTAAACCCCAGGGCCCAGCCTTTACCAGCAACTGCCCATCTTAGAACCCAAGGTACTGGAGTAGGGCCTTAAAAGACCAGTAAGGCATTTGCCTCCAGCATACAACTTAAGGGAGTGCCCCCAAACTCAGAAATCGAGATGGATAACTGATATGGTTTGGCTGTGTCCCCACCCAAATCTCATCTTGAATTGTAACTCCCAGCATTCACACATGTCATGGGAGGAACCCAGTGGGAGGTGACTGAATTATGGGAGTAGGTCTTTCCTATGCTGTTCTTGTGATAGTGAATGAGTCTCATGAGATCTGATGGTAAAAAAATAAAAATAAACAGGAGTTTGCCTGCACAAGCTCTCTCTCTTTGCCTGCTGCCCTCCATGTAAGACCCGACTTGCGGAGCAGTGTGAAGAAGAAGAGGCGAGAACGACCCCCAGACCAACAAAAGCCCACGCGCCGCTGCATCCCGCGCCCAGCGCCTACGTCCCGCCGCCATCGCCACCATGCCCAAGAGAAAGGCTGAAGGGGATGCTAAAGGAGATAAGGCCAAGGTGAAGGACAAACCACAGAGAAGATCCGCGAGGTTGTCTGATAAACCCGCTCCTCCAAAGCCAGAGCCCAAGCCTAAAAAGGCCGCTGCAAACAAGGGAAAGAAGGTACCCAAAGGGAAAAAGGGAAAAGCTGATGCTGGCAAGGAAGGGAATAACCTTGCAGAAAATGGAGATGCCAAAACAGACCAGGCACAGAAAGCCGAAGGTGCTGGAGATGCCAAGTGAAGTGTGGGCATTTTTGATAACTGTGTACTTCTGTTGACTGTACAGTTTGAAACACTATTTTTTATCAGGTCTTATAAAAATGCAGAATTTTGTTTTACTTTTTTTTTTTTAAGCTATGTTGTTAGCACACAGAACACTTCATTGTTGTTTTGGGGGAAGGGGCATATATCATTAACAGAATGTCTCCAAAGCTGGATTGATGTGGGGAAAACACCTTTCCCTTCTAGTTTTGAAAGACTTCCTCTTGGCTTCCAGGAGGAGGGATTCCCTGCCTTTGACACACATGGACCCCTTGGCACACAAAAGCCTTGTGGCATAGAAAAACAAATTCATTTTTCTGTCCTCTTCTCCCTTTCCGTCTTTCAGCATAGACTTAACTCCCTTAAGCCCAGACACCTGTTGGGACCTGACCCCCAGTCATTGGTTACCAGTATGTCAGGCAATCTGAAATTGCCAGTGATGCCACTGAGATGGCACCTGTCAAAAGAGCAGTGGTTCCATTTCTAGATTGTGGATCTTCAGATGAATTCTGCCATTTTCATTTCACTTCCTGAAAGGCAGGGTCGGCTTGTGAAAAGCTGTTAAACAACATGCTAAATGTGAAATGTCAACCCTCACTCTAAACTTTCCCTGTTCGGAGCATCAGATGAAGACTTCATTGGGTTTTATAGTGGCTTTCTGATTTTTGGTGGTCCATCGAAGAAGGGAGTTTGAAAGTTGTTGTAGGGCCGGGCGCGGTGGCTCAAGCCTGTAATCTCAGCATTTTGGGAGGCCGAGGTGGGCAGATCACAAGGTCAAGAGATCGAGACCATCCTGGCCAACATGGTGAAACCCCATCTCTACTAAAAATACAAAAATTAGCTGGGCGTGGCGGCATGCACCTGTAGTCCCAGCTACTTGGGAGGCAGAGGCAGGAGAACTGCTTGAACCTGGGAGGCAGAGGTTGCAGTGAGGCGAGATTGTGCCACTGCACTCCAGCCTAGTACCTGGCGACAAAATGAGACTGTCTCAAAAAAAAAAAAAAGAAAGTTGTTGTATGCTGTTAACAATTGTCTGCCCATGTCCTGCCTAAAATACCATGATTGTTTATGGAAAGTATCTTTAATACAGCTGGATACAGTTTGGCTTGGAAAAGAAAAAAAAAAAAAGATGTGACTTCCTCCTCCTTACCTTCTGCCATGATTGTGAGGCTTCCCCAGCCACATGGAACTATGAATCCTCCCTTAAACCTCTTTCTTTTGTAAATTGCCCAGTCACGGGTATGTCTTTATCAGCAGCATGAAAACTGACTAATACAATAATATTTTTTTCTTTTTGAGACGGAATTTCACTCTGACCCCCAGGCTGGAGTACAATGGTGTCATCTCAGCTCTGCCCTCCAAGTTCAGGCGATTCTCCCACCTTGGCCTCCCTAGTAGCTGGAACTACAGGCATGAACCACCACCATGCCTGGCTAATTTTTGTATTTTTAGTAGGGATGAGATTTCACCATGTTGGCCAGACTGTTCTCAAACTCCTGACCTCAGGTGATCCACCCACCTCAGCCTCCCAAAATGCTGGGATTACAGGCATGAGGCACTGTGCCCCACCCAAGATAGAGAATACTTTAATGCAATTTTTAAAAGTCAAAAATAATGTGCAAATTCATGATGAACAAAATGTTAAAATTTCAAATAAACGCAAGATCCAGCCCTTCCCTCAATACCCTGTCTCATCTACCTCCCGCTAATCTCAGTCTTGGTTCCAGTAAAACCTTGTTTTAAAAAACCGGCAGCCAGCTCACAGGCTGTAGTTTACTGACAATGAAAATATTGCATTAGGCCAGACACAGTGGCTCACGTCTGTAATTCCAGTACTTTGGGAGGCTGAGGCAGGAAAATTTTTTGAGACCAGGAGTTCAAGACCAACCTCAGCAACATAGCAAGACTCTGTCTCTACAAAAAATAAATTAGTTGGGTGTGGTGGCACATGCCTATAGTTCCAGCTACTCAGGAGGCTGAGGCAGGAGGATCACTTGAGCCCAGGAGTTCCAGGCTGCAGTGAGCCGTAATTGTGCCACTGCATTCCAGCCTGAGGCAGAAAGCAAGACCGTCTGAAAGAAAAAACCGAAAAAATGCATTCAATTTTCTTTATCTTGATTACTGAGCTTTTTGGTGCCCCTTACATTTTGGGCCTGTGGTGAGTGCCTCACTCCCCTCCCCCTAAATCTGGGCCTGCCAGAGAGGGCCCCTTCCTGGAATACAAGCCCCAGTGAAGAGACCTACAGCCTGCAGAGAACACTGTGCCCACGTGAATTTTGCACGGGATCACAATCACTCCATGTGTGCTGAGGGGTCCAGGTTGGTCAGCAACCCCTAATGTCCCCATTCCTTAGAATATCTGATGCCTTCACACACCTGGGAAGAGTTATTCAATCTTTCTCTCTCTGTTTCTTTCTTTGTTTCCCTCCTTTCCTCTCTCCCTCCCTCCCTCCCTTCCTTCCTTCCTGCGTTTTTTTTGAGACAGAGTTTCGCTCTTGTCACCCAGGCTGGAGTGCAGTGGCTCAATCTTGGCTCACTGCAACCTCCGTCTCCTGGGTTCAAGTGATTCTCCTGCCTCAGCCTCCCAGTACCTGGAATTACTTTACCCGCCATCGCACCTGGCTAATTTTTGTATTTTTAGTAGAGACGGGGTTTTACCATGTTGGCAGGGATGGTCTCAAACTCCTGACTTCAGGTGATCCACCCACCTCGGCCTCCCAGTGTTGGGATTATAGGCGTAAGCCACCTCACCCAGCCTGTTTAAGTTTTCTAGGCTCATCCGTCTTATCCAAAACAGGGAGAGAGGACGGTTTATTTGCTGCTCTTCGTGCAAAAGAAATCTACGTTGGCCTGAACCCAGGACCTTTTGCACATCTGATGTACCAGCACTGAGACCATACCATGTGCCAGGCCCCGTCCTGGGAAAATGTTGACAAAGAAGGTGTGAGATGTATTCCCAACCCCTACTGATCACAGCTTATACTCACAGCTTAGAAAGAGGTAGGCCCAGAAGCCAAAATCACTCATTCATTTGTTCATTCGTTCACCCCTTCAGTAATAGGCATCTGCTGACTATACACGCCAGACATTGCCAGCGTCGGTTAAGTCAGACATGATCCTTGGCCTCAAGATATTTACAGCCTAGTATGGTGAGATGGATAAAGAAAAGTAACCGCAATACGAAGCTATGTGTGCTCTTTGAAGATAAAGGGAGGTGGAAATTTAGAGAGGACCACTATTTAGCTGATAGTGGGGAGGGATTTTGCAGGGTAGGGCACAAGCAGAATTGTGCCAGACAGAGGGACTAGCACTTTTCAGGCAAAGACCTGTATGTGCTAAGGCGGAGTGTGAAAGAAGGCATTGTGATTACAGGCCAGGAGGCTGAGCAAAGCATACAGGAAAAGTAGGTGTTGGGTCCAGGCCTGGCAGCTCACGCCTGTAATCCCAGCACTTTGAGATGCTGAGGTAGGAGGATTTCTTGAGGCCAGGATTTCAAAACTAGCCTAGGCATCATACTGAGACCTTGTTTCTAAAAATTAAAAATTTTGAAAAGTAGGTGATGGGCTGTGGTGGCAGATGAAATAAACTCAGCATAGACTATGAAAGGCCCTGAATGCTAAAATAAAAAATGGAATTTTGGTCAGGCATGGTGCCTCATGCCTGTAATCTCAGCATTTTGGAAGGCTGAGGCGGGCAGATCACCTGAAGTCAGTAGTTTCAGACCAGCCTGACCAACACGGAGAATCCCGTCTCTACTAAAAAGACAAAAAATTAGCCGGGCATGGTAGCAATGCATGCCTATAATCCCAGCTACTCGGGAGGCTGAGGCAGGAGAATCACTTGAACCTAGTGGGGTGGAGGTTACAGTGAGCTGAGATCACGCCACTGCACTCCAGCCTGGGCAACAAAAGCAAAACTCCATCTTAAAAAAAAAAAGGTGGGGGGGGATTTTTATTCTGTTTGGAGATTCTGGAAGCTTATAGGCAGAAGATGGAATGTTTTGATCCATTTTTTGAAAGAGAATACTGGCAGAAGGATTGAAACAAACTCAGTTGGAATATTTTGCATTAATCCAGGGAGGAATGATAAAGGCCTGAACCAAGGCACTGCTGGTGGGACCAGAGAGCAGGGATGAAGTTTAGTGAGATTTCTGGTAAGAAGCTATACAAAAATAAATAAAATAAAATAAAGAAGCTATATAACTTACTGGGTAACTGTATGTGGAAGGTGAGGAAGTGAAAGGAGTCTAGCTTGATTTCCAGTTTTCTGATTTGGACAATAGTACATAGTGGTAACAGGGAACATAGTGGTTAACACAAATAGGGAAATACAGGAGGAGGCGCAAGTTGGGGAGCAGAGGATATGCCCATCTGTGGATCTGTTGACTCAGAGGTGCTTGGAAGATTGTTCTGATAAAATGACCAGATGAGATATGATATGCACAGGGCTCAGGGAAAAGTTTAGGCTGGAGATACTGCTGTGTGAGCAGAGGGTATATGAGCCTGGGTGAGTTTAGAGGGAGAAGACAACTGAAGGTGAGAAGCCAGCAGTGGAGTGGAAAAAATAAGGGAGGCCAGAGGGCAGCAAGGGAGATCTGGGAGGAGGAGCAGGAAAGAGTGACATCCAGGAGACCAGGAGAGCTGATAAACTAAAAGAGGAGAAAGAGTTCCACACAGTGGAGTGGGAAGAGCATGAGGACAAGAACCAAGCCGTAGTTTGAAGACAAGTTGGCCATTGATGCCTTTACCCAGAACAATTTCAAAATTGACCAGTCTGCACCTCATTAAACCACAGATTGTTTCCGTGGAAGGGTGGAATGAGAGTTGAGGAATCCATGGGAGGTGAGGAAGCAGAGGCAGTGAGTGTGGACGGCTCCTTCAGTACGTTCTGGGGAAAGAGGAAGGAGGTGGTAGCATCTGTCTCACAGGCCAGAGGTCGTGAGAAAGTGAGCAGGCTTTAGAAAGTGAGAGAGACATGAGGAGCAGTTTAGATTCGAGAAGCAATGGAAACAGAAGTGAGATCCCAACTGGGCAGCACAGGAGCGCCATGTTCAGACCCCAACCACAGAGCGCCTCAGTCAAAATTCAAGACTCATTTTCCCTCATGGTGCTTAGGTTCCCCAGTCAGACCCTCAGAACCCATTTCACCCATAATCCACCAGAAGCATGGTACCAATTATGCATGGGAAACACACTCCTTGTTCCAACTCAAAGTTCTAGAATTCTGAAGTTCTGAAGGATGCTGGAAGGTGGGAACAAGGCTCTCAGGAGGGGGCAAGACAGATCTATATTCTGGTCTGGCTCATTTATCTACAAGGAACAGAGGTCCACTTAAGTCACCTCAAGGAAAAGGGGAGTTTGTGGCAAGGATGTTAGGTGGCTAGCAGTCTAGAAACAGAATGGAAATGGGAACCGAGAACGGTGACAGTGGTAGGCCCCTGGTTCGTGGTCACTCTGCTTCTCTCTGGACATCTGTCCCCTTGTTCTCCTCTCTCTGCCAACAGCTTCCTCCACTCTGTTTTGTTACTTCCCTTGTCACTTTGTCTCACATAAGTCTTTGACTTTCCATCCTTAACCTCTCAGAATCTCTTTCAACTACTATCCCAGTTGCTACTGGGTCCAACTTCTGTTTCCCAGTTGAGGTAGGAATGTGACTGACCCAGCTCCTGGTTCAGGGCAGGGCTTTGGGTCACTAG